GTTCCATTTACAAGTGCAAGTTTTCTCTGGGTTTTCCCTATGTGAACCCTGGCTGGGCTCGTCTTCCTAAATTGGCAGTTTCTTCCTCTATTTCTGCCTTTCCCTCTATGGGGAGTGGATCTCTGCTGCTGCATGGGCCACCAGCTGTGTTGGCCCATCAGCGACGAGTATAATCTGGACTTTCCCTCAGCCCACCTCATTTCCTGATTATTTCCTACTGTTTATTTCATGCCTTGTCAATTCATCTTCCTCTCTGAGCAGGAGCCCTGACCCAACCACCCACCTCCTTCCCCATTTGTCTCATCTTCTCACAGCAAATATTTCCATCTCTCCTGCCTTAGGACAGACCGGAGAGCAAAGCACAACTGTCTCTTCTGCTTGTGTTTTGTGATGGGCAGTGGCGGGCAGGGGGGAAGTCTAGTCCTGGGCAGAGGAGATGGAAGTGCCCACTACAGGGGGTATGAGGTCAGAGGCCAGACCTCCCCACCATGCTGGCCCCCACTGGTCGTTCAGGGACTCTTGTTACTGCAACGGGCTCCAGCAAAGGGCCCTTTAACAGCCATCTTGGCTGGGCACAGTGGCTCATACCTGTAATCCCAGCACTTTGGGAGGCCAAGGCAGGCAGATCACTTGAGGTTAAGAGTTCGAGACCAGCCTGGCCAACATGGCAAAACCCCATCTCTACTAAAAATACAAAAATTAGCCAGGCATGGTGATGGGTGCCTATAATCCCAGCTACTTGGGAGACTGTGGCTGGAGAATCACTTGAACCCGGGAGGCAGATGATGCAGTGAGCTGAGATCACACCATTGCACTCCAGCCTGAGCAACAAGAGCAAAACTCTGTCTCAAAAATAAACAGCCAGCTCTACCCCTCTCCACCTCAGCCACTCCTCACTCTGCCCCTGAAAGGTCCTGTTCTTTTCCATGATGGCCTTTCTCTCACTTCAAAGTGTCTTCCTCCCTCACTGACAAGGATCAAAGCCCTGGGCCTCTGGCCTATGGTACTTTTCACCCTTTAAGGTAGATAGCAGCACAAAGGTACCCTCTACTTCCAGGTCAGAGGCTAAAAAGGAGGTAGGCTTTTGGCAGAATGGTGGTTACCAGGGGTGGGGAAAGCAGAAAAAGAGATTTTTATGTTCAATGGGCAGAGTTTCCATTTGTGAACATGAAAACGTTGTGGAGATAGGTGGTGGTGATGACTTCACAACAATGTAAATGTCTTAATACTACTGAATTATATACTTTAAAATGATGAAAAGGGCAAATATATATATTACATATACATATTATTTTTTACTAGAATTTCTTAAAAGAACAGAATATACTTTCAAAAACTGATTGCAATCGCAGTAATCTCTACTGTAATTGGAGTACAAAACAGTCTTAATTCTCAAGGATAATTCTGGTCTTAAGTATTGATTTAATATGTGCAATAATTATTATCTCAGGAAGAATGCCTTTTAAATTTTGATGAAAATATACCTAAAATTTTTACTAGTGCTTTGTGTAGCTACTGAAGAGGTGACTAATATTATCGATGGGTTGATGAATTGATTGAGGTAGCAGTGTGAGACAGATGCTGATGAAAATGCTCAGAATGATGTGTTTGGAAATGCCTCTCAGAATGAGAACCATGCAGTTATGGTTCCTAGAGAATTATGCCCTGCTACAGATCTTCATCTTCTCATCAAAAAAATAAGTAAAATTTTAAAACTATGACACATTTGCAGAGTCCGAAGGAAGCCCAGAGGAGTGATTACAGAGTCGGTGAATAGGATCTGTGAACAAATGTCGAAGAAATTGGTATTGCCTGCTATTTTAGGACAGCTTAAAAGAGCTGCATAGATGCAGGAGTAATTGTGGTGACTGAAGGACAAAAGAGTGTGTTGTTGAACAAAAAACAAAATATGGCCTGACTCTTCTACTCTCTAGTGTATGCACTACTTAGAACCTGTGATCAGCCGTAGTCACCACAAATTTTTAGAGCTCCATAAAGATCAAATTAGAGCTGTAGATTATAAAATGAAGGGCAATAAGTCTTAAGATAAAAGCTAAAGGAATTTTTGAAGGAAACAATAAAAAGTTAAAGGAATTAAAATTGAAGTTGAAAAGGCTAAGTGTTGTAAAAGCATAGGAGACGCAAATTCTTTGTGTCAAATGGTTCAAACAAAAGGAAATGTGCATAAAAGGAAAATTTTAAATATTGGCTGGGTGTAAGAAAGACTTTTCAACTGACAAAGTAGACTTCACAGGGAGGTTGTGGAATCTTCTCTTAAGGCTTTTAAAAATCAGGCAGGGTTTTTCACTGTATGGGATGGTAGGGTACAAACCATTCTCACCCCCAGAATGAAATCATGAGTGAGCAAAAGGTTCAGGTGACTCAGGGACTTTATAAATGGTAGCCAGGAATTCTGAACAGAGTTTTAAAATACTGAGAGGAGAAACTGATGCTGAAAGAAGATGGCATGAGGGTAGGGAAATTTGCCTCCCTGCTCAGGCACTAGGGCATGTGCTATGCTGTGGTCCCTGGTGGTAGCATGGTGGTATTCTGGCCTCTTCTGTATAACTGACGTGTCACCCCAGATTTTCCCAATTTGGCGGAAGCTGTGTGTACAGAGGGCTGGCAGCCTGCAACCATTATTGCCTTCTGCAAAGGGGGAGATATATACCAGACACCTCTTTCTCATAGTTAGAAACTTCTAGAGAGAGCCTACTATATTATCTGATACTTGACAATATATTCTTAAGCCATCTAAAACTTCTATTTTGGAAAATTATTCTGGAAATCTTGCATTGGGTTGCAGCATGCAAACAAGAGCAAGTCATCCATGCTCATCAAGACTTGCCAGTCCTTACTTCTCTCACCATTGATCAAAGATGGCAGTGGTGAGGCTGAGAGCCATCTCCTGATGGGACACTGTGCATGGATTCATATGATTGGGCAGTTCTGCTAACTAGCACTAGCAATCATTCTTCACATGAACATAGAAGAACAGTTGAGGTTTTTAAAAGCGTGAAGCAATTTTGAGGGTCTAATTATGTGTGTATTTGGTATGCAAGCCTTGTCTTCCTAGTCCCTAGCTTTATTACTTTAGTTACTGTTTATCATAGATATGAAACACAATTTAATTTTAAAAGGGGGATAAATCTGGGGTGTGTACAGTAGTTAGCCGGTGGTTGGCACAGCTAGCTCCTGGGACTCCAGTGAGTTGTTCATCCAGTTACATGAATGTGTATTTCTGAGAACTAACAAGATTCACACTGCAAGGCTAATCTCATCCGTGAGCAGTGTGTGTTCCAATGTGGTAGTATTTAAGGGCTCCAGGGTATCATTCATGTGTCCTGGTGCCTGAAATTCCACTATCTCAGAGTTGTCCCTTTGGATTCTTCTCTCTGAAGATTCTTTTTTAAAATGCAGATAAACCAAGAGCAACATTATATGAATTCATACACAGAAAAGGATGGGTGGCTTGTTATGCCTTTCCTCTGACAACAGAGTCCCATGATATGAGAAGAAACATTAACAACTGAGAGGCACACACTCAGATGTTCATTTCTTAATTTGGTCATCATTTGTTGAGCACCTACTGTGTGCCACACACTGAGCTAGAGGGTGTCGTTCCTGGCTGCAGGAGGCCCACCGTGTGATGGAGAGGCACACATTTCCACACAGTGCAGGAGAGAGGGCCCGGGGCACAGAGGAGGGAGGCACGGACCCTGGGTTGGGCATTAATTGCCGAAGGATGTGATGTGACTCCAAGCTGGGTTTTGAAAGGTGAATGGAGTCTGCTAGCTCCTGGAGAGAGGCAGAAGCGGGGTCCTGTCAGTTTGTTTTCTCTTAGAGTTCTTTCTGACCCCTGAGAGAATGCCCAGGCACGTTCCTCAGAATGTCACAAGGTCATAGGGCTAGAGAACCCTGCAGGCCCCTCAGGAGGTCACCAGAGCATGACCTCTGCCCAGAGACTGGGGCAGTCTCCCCGGACTCCTCAAGGCTACTGATTTCAAGCAGTTCAAAGAGAAAAAGAAGGAATTGTTAAGACAAATCCAGCCAATCTCATCACTTTGCCTCAGGAAGACCTTGTTCTTCGGCCAAGATTTAGTGGATTCATCTAATCCTTTCATGGAAGGAATTAAAATGGAACACCTGGCTATTTGCTTTATTTTTATCTGAAGCCGCTTGCCATCACTTGAGGATAATTATGTTGAATATTGTTTTATTCTTGATATCCCACACAAAATTTCCTCAACTCCGGACATCACTTTTCCATAATTAAGAGCATAGATTCTAGAGCCAGATTGCCTGGACCCATATCCTAGTTCAGCTACAAGTTATGAACCTTATTCCTGCCTCAGTTTCCCCAAGTGTAAATGAGGATAATTATTTTTTCTACTCTATTGATGTGTTATGGGGCTTCAGCAAGCTGGTTGCATGAGGTATTTAGAACAAGATGAATAGAGAGTGCTCAGTGAAGACTGGCTGTTATTCACTCACTTACTGCAGAGCACCTGACCCAGAACTGTTTGAATTACAATGTAGAGGAAGGGCCATCTCACTCAGCAAGGCAGTCAGAACCTACCAATCAACTGAAACATTCACCAAGGGCCAACTGTGTCCCCATGGGTTCTGTTCTAGCCATTGGAAATACTAAATCCAATACAGAGTGGCCCCCATCCTCGAGAAGCCTACAGCCTAGTGAGAAAACTGGACACCATCTCTTCCTTAACATGCACAATGGTGTGGTTTGTACCGTGCTATACTATGAAATGTCCTCACAGCCCCTCAACAGGTACCTGGAACAGGTATCATCCTCCCCACTTCCTGCATGATAATAAAATGCCTATCAGAAAACCCTGTTTGCTTATTACGTGTCATTGGCACCTTCGCGTAGGAGATCATCTTTCAGTAAGTTAACCTAGAGGGGAGGGGAGATGTTGTCTAAGTAGGCCCTGTTTTCCTCCTGCAGTGATGGGTTGTAACGAACTCAATGTTTGTGTTAGGTTTGGAGGAGACCAGCCTGTCTACATCAACATCATTAGAGACCCCGTCAACCGGTTCTTATCTAACTATTTTTTCCGTCGCTTTGGAGACTGGAGAGGGGAACAGAATCACATGATCCGCACCCCCAGCATGAGGCAGGAGGAGCGCTACCTGGTAAGTCAGTCCTGTTGCATGCAAAAGGTGGTCTCCCCACTGCCTGGGGAGTGACCCCTCCACCAGGGAAGGCTCACTCTTCCCTTCCCAGGCCTTGCCCTTGGCGCCTTCATGGAGCATGGGGCAGAGAGGGTGCTTCCGCAGGAAGGAGGTCTTGGCGAGAGAAACTGGTTCCGGGTGACCCAGATCTTAATGAACATTTCCTCAAATGATCTTCTGATGTTGCTTTGCTCAGTTGTCTTTAGTGCTAGATTTTGGGTCCCAGAGCGGAAACAGTCTTTCCTAAGGAGTCCTGACTAGCACTGTCCTGCTTAAGAAGAACAAAGGTGTTGGGGGGTATCTGTTAGAGGGCGGCAGAGCCCTTTCTCATCCCTCAGCCCATTCAGTTCTCGTGACCACTCTGGGAGGGAGGGAGTGTTTTCAGATGAGGACCCTGAGATTCCAAAGGTTGTGGGATTTGCCAGTCACCTCTCAGGTAAGGGCACAACCGCGACCGACTGTTTCCGAGTTTCCTGCCTTCACAGTCTGGGTTCTTTCCACCACAGTGCGATAGAACCCTGTCATTGGACCAGTAATTGTTTGCTTTCTCTAGACTTGTTTTGGGACCCTCAGCTCCATAAGGGATGTTAGTCTTGAGTCCAGTAATTATTTCCGCAGCACAGAGGTTGGTAACAGAAATGGAGGGTGGAGTTGCGTGTCTTTCTTTGAGCACTAAAACGAAAGGTACATTTCCCATCCCATTGTAGAGACACACGTACTGAGGAGCTGACAGCCTGGTGCCCAGGAGGCTGAAATCCTGGTCTCTGTGTCTGAGAGAGCCCTTGGGGTTCACCTGGACCCATCCTGGGCTGTTGTTGGGCACAAGCAGGAACGAAGGAAGTGTTGAGGATCAGTCAGAGGTGTTGTTCCCAAAGCTGGAAGATCGCCCAGAGCCAAGGCCACTGCTGATGCGCCCTCAGCAGCAGCCTTGCCGCTGGAGAATAGCACCGAATCTCCGGGCCAAGGCCAGGACCGCTGCTTCCTCATCTCATTTTAAACACGTAATGGAAGCGGATGTTCAGAGGCTGGGAGCATTTGGGGATGATGTCCCCTCAGTGTCACATTCATGTTTTCAAATCCATGATTAGAGTAGAGAAAACTGAGATACAGAGAAGTTAGTGTCTCAGTCAGGGCCAGACGACTACACCAGACCCATGTGGCTTTCCACTCACCTTGGTATTTGATCAACTACCTAAGACATCAGTGAAATATTTTGATGATTTTTTTTATTTTTATTTTCTTCCTTTGATGATATATTTTAAAAGGGGCTTTTCCTCTTTTTTTTAGTTTTTGATGGCAAAACCCTAATCTATTTCTTTATAGGTTTTGAGACCTGGTGCAGTGGCTCACGCCTGTGATCCCAGCACTTTGGGAGGCTGAGGCAGGTGGATCACTTGAGGTCAGGAGATCGAGACCAGCCTGGCCAACATGGTGAAAACCCGTCTCTATTAATAATACAAAAATTAGCTGAGCATGGTGGCACACGCGTGTGATCCCAGTTACTTGGGAGGGTGAGGCAGGAGAATCCCTTGAATCTGGGAGGCAGAGGTTGCAGTGAGCCGAGATTGTGCTACTACACTCCAGCCTAGGTGCCAGAGCGAGACTCCATCTCAAAAAAATAAAAAAATAAAAAATAAATAAAAATAATTAAAAATAAATAAAATAAAAAATAAACTATAGGTTATGAATATGATTATATGTTTTTTATTTGGTGAGACGTGTATTCAGAGTATAGAACCGCTTACTACAAGAATAATGTCTTCTCTAATTATATTCATTATTTGTTTTGGATCTTGATTAATATATGTTGTTTTAAAAAGAGCATACATTCCATTTAATCCAGATAATTCTTTCATAGTTCTGATTCAATCCTCATGCTAAGAAAGTTAGAACCAGAGGATAGCAGAAAACGCCAAAAAACCAATGATATGGAAACATGTCTTATGAACACTGCTCTTCAAATATTAATGTAAGAGTTGAGAGGAATGCTCCAGCTTTTTCCGCTCTGTCAAGCTTTTGTTGCCATCCTGTAAATCATTTCATATAATGTAGTCTTCACACACACAAATAATAAGCTGCAATCATAGAGAGAAAGGTGGCAAATGTGAGGGGGAAAAATTATGGTTTGGAATTTCTATTTGTTTGTTTTTGTTTTGAGACAGAGTCTTGCTCTGTTGCCCAGGCTGGAGTTTTTGCAGTGGCAAGATCTCTGCTCACTACAACCTCCACCTCCGGGGTTCAGGCGATTCTCCTGCTTCAGCCTCCTGAGTAGCTGGGACTACAGGCACCTCCCACCATGCCCAGCTAATTTTTGTATTTTTAGTAGAGGCAGGGTTTCACCATGTTGGCGAGACTGGTCTCGAACTCCTGACCTAAAATGATCCACCTGCCTCAGCCTCCCAAGTGCTGAGATTACAGGTGTGAGCCACCATGCCCAGCCTGGTTTGGAGTTTTTTTTTAAAAGGTCATAAAATATTGAAAATTGGTAGTTGGGGCAAGTGTTATCTTTTCGAAGAGCTGGTAACTGCCTTTATTATGTGAGTTGAGAGATTGTAGGGAGATTTCCCTGCCTAGAATTCTGCCCTTAGAAATTTGTAGGGGCCCCTTTCCAAATGTAAGCACTGTGTTCGGGAAGGGTCTGTGTCACATGAGCTCATCAGATCGATCCTTGGCAAGGCCCCAGCAGGAAAGCACTAGGCTTCCCAAAGCAGCACAGCAGAAAGTCGGGGGGCTCAGATTCAAGAGAGGAGAGCCTGGTGGTGGCAGGGAGTGGGTGTCCCTTTCATGGTCTAGTTCCAGCCTGACCTGGTTAGAAGGCTGTCTTCTGGTTCAAAGGATAGTTTGTTTATTTGGAAGAAGATGGTCTATTGCCTTTTTTTAATAGCTGAAAGTTTTAATTCCATCTCCTTGGTCCCATTAGACCCTTGAAATAAAATTGGCCCCTTTCAGAAGAGTCTGTCCTCATTTTGGCAAAGCCTGGGTAGTCAGTTGTCTGACTCAAAAGAGGGTGTTGTTTGTGTCTCAGCGGGGCACAGGCAGCTGTGAGGAGCCCACTGTCCCCTCCTTGCAGGCCACCCCTCCCCTTGGAGGCCCTTCCCTGCACACCACATGCCCACAGGGTCTTGGGTGCTGGCCTGAAATGGGTCTGCTGATTTACCACGTCGTTCCAGATCTCAGTGCTCCAAAGCCCCTTGCTTTATCCCATTGCCAAAAATCGGGCAGTTCTGCCCCTGGCCCTGAGCCTCCCAGAGCTGCTTAGCATACAGCTGGGAGCGGCCAGCGCCTGCCTCCCAGCCTGCTCTGAGGATGAAATAATATCATCTTGTGAGGCAGGGTGGTTTGGAAGAAAATGGAAAGGGTAAAGGAATCCTGGGATTTGCAGGAACCCCAAAGAAGATAAGGACTCTCATTTTACAGGTGTGGGAACGGGCCTAGGATTCAGGGTGGGGTAAAGTCCCTCCTAGGAGGAGAAGCCAGAGCTCCTGATTCCACTTCGGTGGTGTTTGCCCACTCAGACCTTACGTTTTACTTCCTGAAGGGTAAAGCGAGAAGAGGACTGGGCCAAGTCCCATGCTTTTGAAGCAGAATCATTTGATGTAACATCGTCTCTCCATCTTTACAAAGACATCGCTGTTACAGCAATTTGTTTTCAAATATTCAAGCGTCTTATAGCTATACCTTATTTTCTGGAAACAACTAGCTTTTCTCAAACTTTCTATTTCTTTCCAAACTCTTCTTCCTTTGCATTTCCTGGAAAATCATTTTTAAATAAATTAGTGCTCGCATAGATGCAAGTTCAACTTCCAGCAGCCATACTGTGAAAAGGCAGTTGTCTTAGGCTCATTTCTTTTTGTCTAGAGCTGGAAACTCCCCAGTGTGAAGTTGGCTGCCTCCTTTTTGGGGATGAGGGTCCTCTGAACCCAGGCACACTTGGACACATCCCAGCACCTGAGACTCTTCTCCAGCTCATGTCCGGCCTCCTTTATTTCCAGGGCAGGGAAATACCTGGCATACAGACCATATTTAATGAAAGAATGAATGATGGAAAAGCTTTTTCTAACGAAGAGCAACTGTTGTCATCTCCAGATGAGGGAGAGCATCTTATTCCTGCTGGAGCCACTCCCTTTTCCAATCTTGGAGCTTCCATGAAAGTGGATTTCTTGTGCTGTCATTTTCACCCTGCTGGTGAAAGTTCTCAAAAATGTCACATTGGGCTCCTGCCCTAACCACTGTTGCCACTTCACTAGGCCATCCTCTGTTTGAAGAATAGGAAGAGAAGGGAGAAACTCTTCCCAGAGAGAACACTACCTCTCTAACACTGTTTATTCGGCTTGGCTGTAAAGTGTGGAAAGTAATGCATGTTTAAAAGAAAAGATGTGTAATTTACAGCTTCTTAATTCATAAAGAATTCAGTGAATCATGTTGGCCCTGTTGGATTCTGGAGAAGTCTGAAAACTGGCCAGAGTCAGCAAAGGTTTTTAGAAAGCTATGCATTTTAATCTGCTTGAAAGCTTTGGACTCCAAACGTCCTTTAACTTTGAAAGTATACATATGAAACACTGGTGTGTGGAAATTTCCACTCTGTCCCAACCAGCTGAGACTGTCCTGTGAGTGAAAGAAACCTTAGGCATTGCCTTTATTCCTAAGGCATTGTTTTTCTTAAATAAATAAAATGAAGAAGGGCTTTGGATTGTCTCCTTTTTAAGTGTTTCAGTAAATATCTATGTTTTCCAAATCCGTAAAGATAAGAAAATTATGCTCTTGGTCTTCAACTAGTTCAGATTTAGCTTCCAATTGCAGGCTGAGCCAGGGGCCTAAGATAAGGTGTATTTATATTCCCTTCTCAGCTGCCTTAGCTGGGAGACTTGGCCTGGGATTTAGCCTCTGTGAACCTTGCTTGTCTCATCTGTACAATGGGACCATATTACCTACTTTGCGTGCAGTACAGGGTTGTTGGGAGA